CAGGTGTATAAATGGGTACTGGCAACTGGTAATGCTGGGGTACCCCTGCAATGAGCTAGCATCCCATCCAGGGGAGAGTAGAAATACTCCTAGTCACTTCATACTACAGAAACCAAGATAAGCTCCAGGCTGATGGGCCACTTGGCTCGTATGCAGACTTAACCTTTACATTAAAGTAACATTATTCCATGTTTCGACGCATCCAGAAAGGGCGCATATCCATAGAAACTTCTGAAAACACTCTTTTTAAACATCTTTCATTATCTATTAATACTACATGACTACTAGTAATAAGGAAATATAAAAGTTCATGGCCCAGACCCCAAAAAACATTCTTAATCCCAAATCAGTGTTCAAAACTTAATGGACTATGAAAAACATAGTGGTCCCCCCAAATGATGACTGGTCTCTAATATACTTTACTCCAAGTCCATTCATTCATCTGGTATCAAATGAGCTAGTTTTGACATTTGGACTATTATTGAGCTGCACCTCTTAAAACATTGAAGCATACCTCTGCTGGCAGAAAAATAATCCCTTACAAGCTAAGTAAGTAAGGTAAGTAATTAAGAACTTTATTTAGCTATGCAAAAAACAATATATATTTGAATGACTTACCACCTGTCAACTTATTTCCAACAGATGACACAAAGGCAGCCGCTTTTGCTGAAACAAAGCAGACAAAACCTATGTTACAAAAATTTTACAAGTCTCACGAATCGAATTCCTCAGAACCTGTTTCTTAATAATTTTGAGCTCATGGGTTGATCATGTTCTCCTGCCATTTGGGATGTTTCTTCCCCACAGCCAGATTTAGGGGGTTTCAATGGGAGTGCAACACTACTATACTCACTTTGTCTGGGAAATTTAAAATGTTATATCCATCCTTCTTTTGCTCTCACAATCAAAATGTAGAAAATGGCATCACAGGGAACCTGGACTTTAAAATTTACCAGAGGGAGGGGACCCCTGCTGTTCTAAATGCTACATTTCCTGTTTCTGAATTGCCTGGATCTGCAACTTTTTTGCCATTAGGACCTTGAAGATACTATTTCCATAGAGAAATGGGAAAAATTTATCAATTCAGCTTTTTCATGGTTAAGCAAGCAGTATTGTGTCCTTGCATCCCAATCCCTGTTCCCCTTGTTTCAAATCTTTGGAGCACTTAATCAGGATCAGAAATAAATTCAAATAAACATCCATGACTTCAAACATAGCATATTTAATGTTTTAGAGTTTAAAATGTGTGCCAGCAAATTCAGTGAGTGAAACCATGTCCACATCATTTTGTCAGGTGCAGAAATGAGTCTGGCTGGGGTCAGTACAAAACATGGACCCCTCCATCTGGACCCTCTACTAGACCCTTTCTGGACCCCCTTTTGGACCCCTTCTGGACTCCATCTGGACCCCCATCTGGACCCCCTTCTGCCACATTTGGACCCCTATTTTTCTTCCAGAAAATATGAGCTTCTGATTTAAATAATTAAACTTAGAACACACCATGATGAAGTCTATTTAATCAGTGAACAAAATGTGAAGAAATTAATGAATTCACCCAGTGTTGTGTCTTAAGAATAATATATTGACAATTTTGTGGAAAGAATCGCAAAGCCATGATTGTATCATCATCTGTTTACAAAAGTACCCCTGACCAATTTTTCTTCAATTCTGTAAAAAAGAAAAAGTAGCTGAGTGTGTTCCCAATTTTCTTCAATTTGTTTCCTATTTGACACGCAATCTGGTTTATTCTGAACCATCACTTCACAATCATGACAACACTTTAAAAACTCAATAAAAGCCATAAAAAAGTACAGTGCAATTATAAACATTATTAGGAAAATAAGGAGTATGTAATGAGCCTAAAGAACATTTGTTCAGCAGATTTCTTAGAAATAGTGCCTCGTAATATTTTGGACACTTCTGAACTATCTGTTGTGGTATTATCCACCAAATAATTCATTATGTCTTGTATTATTCTTTGATTATTATACAGCTTCATGCTCAAGTCATGTTTTGTGTTAACATCATATTTTTGGATTCTCATTTTTGTCTGCTTATTTGCCACCATAAACCTATCTTTGTTGGCTGGTAATTTTATAACAATATTATTCTGCCAGAATAGGCCTAAATTTACCCTAATATAATGGATAAACCTGAAAAGCCTCCATTTTCAAGGTCGAAGAAAGTTGGTTATTGGTCAAGGTCAAGAGATGATGACACAGTTGTAATGCTGAGAAATGCAGCACTTTTCCCTTTTTCACTTTTTTTTCTGTGAAATTGTTATTTCAGGCCCAATGCTACATGAATTTTGTTCATTCTTCACATTTTTCCTGCACTTCACTGATTCAGAGTAGACCTCACCATCACAATTTCAATCAGGAGCCCATATTTTCTTGAAGGAAAAAGGGGGGTTCAGAAGGAGGTCCACTAGGGGGTCCACAAGGGGTAAACAAGAGGGTCCAGATGGGATCCAAACGGGAGTCCAGTAG